CACTTTTTTTAAAAATCATTTTCTTTTTTATACACTGTAAAAAATTTAGGGAGTTAACGGACTCGGGAGTTGGGAGTGAAATTTTTCGAGTTAAAAATCAACTCCAAAAGAGAGTTAATTTCTAACTCCCTTCATTCAACACCCGCGCGAGTTATTTTTTCCATGGGAAGTTAGGTTTTGGGTGTTAAATTTTAACTCTCTTTATTTAACTCCCCTGGCATTAACTCCCCAATGGGTGCGACTTTTATAGACCCCCCGGGGGAGTTAAAATTTAACTCCCTTTTTTTACAGTGTAATTATTTTTTATTATTATTTTTTTGAAAACGAATAAAAAATTTATTCTTTGCATCAAAACGAATTGTTTGATGTCTATAAATGATATATTTTGTATTATAATTTATAAATTACCTAAATTACAATTAAAGTAGAAAAATTCACATTTTACCTAAATATTTATTTTTAGAAACATATTATTATATAATAACATTTTATTCTTTCAATTCACATGAATGAACTTGATTTTATAAATGTTAAATTGTATAAATAATTATTTAAAAATTAAATATACATGTCGTTAATGATTCTTCTACGAGATTTTTTGTTATTTTCTTAAATATAGATTCAACTCATAATAAAAGATAATAAATTTTAAATATATTATTATATTTTCATCGAAGTTTAAATAGGTACAGTATACAATAATAATAATAATTCTATAATACAAGAATTCCCCTAATTCATTCGTATATACGAAAAAAAATATTTTGAATGAAGCATAAACTTTATTATCGATTGGAAATTGAAACAGTAGACACACATCATGGGACGCAATAAACGAAAGTTAGAATCTGGAGAGAATAGTTTAATTAAAGATTTAAATGAAGAACAAAAAATAAAAGTTAGTAGTTTCGAGGATATACAAAAAATTATGTCAGAGTAAGTTTTTTAATTTTAAAATTTAATTATTACTTGTGTTTTTAAAATATTATAATATAATTATTTTGTTACTTTCAAAAATTGTTATTAAACAAAAATAATATTAATTTTAAAAAATTAAATAAAAAAATAATAAATCATTATTTTCAATTATAAAAATCGAAGATTATAGTGTTTTTCAAATTTTTTTCTGTTTTTAAATATATGTGACGCTCCACGAGAAAAGGGACCTTATTTACTCTTGTCATAAGGTCCCTTTTCTCGTGGAGCGTCACATATTTAATTAAATAATACATTGCGAAGAAATTTATAAAAGAAATTTGTAAATAATTGAATTCCTGTAAAAATTTTTATTATTTATGAAAATAATTGAATGTTTGCGAAGAATTTCATTCAATTTTTTTTTAATAATGGAATTCTTTTGGAAAATTTTATTGAAATAGTAGATATTGAAAATTATTGAATTTTAGAAAACTTTTGAAAATAATTGAAATTTTAACAACAATTTAAGGGCATTGGAACAATTATGACGTCACAGTTTGTTCAAAGCATTTGTTCTAAATATGTGACGTCATAATGGTTTAAATTCCCTTAATTAAAATCAGTTTATTAATCACAAAAAATTTTTTATAATGATCACAAACTTTAACTAAATAAGAATTTCTTACATATTTAACCATTTATTTTACAAAAAAAGACTTCTGACTTTAAATTTGGTGCAAATATAATCTACGAAAAATTGGCGGATAATTCATTGTTTTAGTGCACCCTTCAATTATTATTAATATGTTTTTAATAAATTATAGCTTTTTAAATAAAAATTTATTATTTTTTTAATTTTTAAAATATTAGAAAATGTAAGATTTGTGCAAAGTATATTATCTAATTTTGTTACATGATAATGGTTTAAATACCCTTACTGTTTAATCAGCAATAAACTAAGTTGCCTAATTTTTATTTGCATAATAGAATTATTTTGTTACTTTCAAAAATTGTTATTAAACAAAAATAATATTAACTTACAAAAATAATATTAACTTCCAAAAATTAATTTAAAAAGTAATAAATCATTATCTTTAATCATTAGAAACATAGAAGATTGGTGTTTTTCAAATTTTTTCGGTTTTTAAATATATTTAATTAAATAATACATTACTTAATGCATAATTAATATAATGCACTATAATTTTTATTATTATTTAATTTTTTTGTTTTAAAACATTTTTTTGGTTTATAGATGGGTTATTCGTTGCAAAATTGTGAATAAATCAAACATTAAGTCGTATAAAAGTGGAAAATTATTTTCTATCGATTTAATAGATTCTTCAAGTCAATTTCGATGTACTTTCTTTGACGATGCGGTTGATAAATTTTTTGAAATTGTGCAGGTAATTTGGTTGTTTTTTAATATTATGAACTCAAAATATTATGATATTAAATTTTTTTTTTGTTAAAATAAACTTCTTTTTTTAATAATAGATCGGTAAGCAGTACATTTTGTCAAAATTCTATGTATCAACACCTCATCCAAAATTTAATGTATTCAATAATAGAATTGAAATCCAAATGAAAACTGATTCGTCGATCAAAGAAAATGATGAAAATGATATTTTCCTTCCTGACAACATGTATACTTTTAAAACCATCGAGGAAATTAAATTAATGGAAACAGGAACATTTACAGGTAAGAAGTACATAATGGAATAAAACATACAAAATAAAATATATATGTAATAAATAAAAGTAATAACAATTAATAACAATTAAATTTGCAGATCTAAAAGCGAAAATCTTTCACATAAATGAAATTGAAGAAATTGTTCTTAAAACTGGAACAAAATTCGTAAAAAGATCTGTAACAATAGTCGACGAGTTAAACGAAAAAGTAAGATTGAATTCAGTATATGTAATTTAAATATAATTTGTTTGCATAATTTTATTTTAAATAAATTTAAAAACATTTTTATTTTCAGATTGATTTTGCATTATGGCGTGAGAATGCACAAAATTTTTCGATGAATGTTGATGATGACATTATTATTAAAGGCGGAAAGGTCCTATTTTACAATAACATTGCCTACATTTCTATAATAAATTCATCAATTATAACACTTAATGAAGGTTCTGAAAATGATTAAATTACAATTTCTTAGTTCCTTAGAACCATTTCATTGTAGATTAATCGATTTTTCTTTATTATAATTTCAAAGAAAATTATATTTTGAGTTATTCCTACGCGTTTTGGAATAAAAAAAATAGAAATAGCTCCTACGATATATAAAAGAAATAAATTATTATATAATACATATTTTCTTTTTGAAAAAGTCATAACTGTGACAGTTTGATGTTAATTGTTTTTTATATAGATATATTTCGTTAACAAATATGGTTTGAAAGCAATTAAATCATATTTAGAGAGCAGTGTAACTGCAAATGTTACTGTTTAAGAAATAAAATAAAAAGAAATGTAGATTTCTATTATTTGTTAACAAAAAATTTTCAATTCAAAAAAATTAATAAATTATATAATAGAAAGGAATTCTATTGATTTATAAGTAAATAGCGATAAGTATCCAATTTATTGTAATTAACGTATATACACTATAAATTTGTAATATTTTACTAATTATTAAATGGAATTTAATTTATAAATTAACTGTTTCATTTACATTTATTTAATTAACTGTTTATTCAAGTTATTTAAGTTATTTAAGTTAAAGATAATTATATGACATTCTTAATTATTATATTTAATTTATCTATTTTTTTAATATAATGATATTTTTGTCAATTATAAATTATCTAGAATTTTTAAATTACTAATATTTTAATTCTAAATTATAATTATTGAAACTTTAAACTTTTAAAATTAAATAAATTATATTTTAATATTATTTTTAATTTATAAATATATCAATTTTTAAATACATTGCATTAATTTAAATTAATTTAAATATCCTTATTCTTTAACTTTTTTTTTATTATAATTGATAATTACAATAGATTATATTTTTTAATTTTGTTAAAAAGACATATTCACTGTGTCTATTTAGTTGACAATTTAATAAGTTTTTGTAAAAAAAGGACATAAAATAACAAAATTTCACTTATAATTTTAATATCACGTGTATTGACGTTATTAGTATATTTGAAAAAAAAAATTGTTGCTTTTTCTATCATAGAAATTTATTAATTCCTTTTTATAAAATTACATGGAGAAAAGTAGTAAAAATTATCGTTTAATAATTTTTAAAAAATAGTTTAAAAAATAATATACTAAGCTTTTAATTGTAACGAATGAAATTTATGTAAAAAAATTTAAAACATATTCTTTTAATGAAAATTCCTTATATTTACTCCGTTTTGCGTGATTGTACCAAATTTCCGGTTTATTTCAGGTTATTTACAAATTCTTAGTTCGTTAGACACATTACTATTTTTGAAACGTTTTAAAACTAATTAATGCCACTTATAATAATATGATTAATTAATTTTAATTAATATTATAGGGGAAGAAGAAGCAAATAATAATAATGACAAGACAGAAGATCATTCTTCTAAGCATGATGAGAATGAAAGAAATACGAAGCATTCAAAAAATGTGAGACATAATGAAGAACATAGACAATCTCAATCGTCTGCTATTTACAGACCTATTTAAAAATTTCTACAATTCAAAGCGATATAAAGGTCATTTTCAGAATTATCAACATGCTGCATTTAGAAGGAGAAAAAGTAATTATTCTTTTTATAATATTAAATTAAATTTAAATGTTTTTATTACAATCAATAATTTTTTTCGATATGTTTTATAAATTACATTAATTTTATTAATTAATTTTATTTTATTCATCTAATTAAAATTCTTTTCAATTACAATTTTTCACATAGTATTAAATAAAAGTAATAAACAATCATTAATAATTGTCATTTTATATCATTGATTTATTATAATTAATTCGATTATAACAGTTAATTTATAAATTAAATTCCATTTAATAATTAGTAAAATATTACAAATTTATAGTGTATATACGTTAATTACAATAAATTGGATACTTATCGCTATTTACTTATAAATCAATAGAATTCCTTTCTATTATATAATTTATTAATTTTTTTGAATTGAAAATTTTTTGTTAACAAATAATAGAAATCTACATTTCTTTTTATTTTATTTCTTAAACAGTAACATTTGCAGTTACACTGCTCTCTAAATATGATTTAATTGCTTTCAAACCATATTTGTTAACGAAATATATCTATATAAAAAACAATTAACATCAAACTGTCACAGTTATGACTTTTTCAAAAAGAAAATATGTATTATATAATAATTTATTTCTTTTATATATCGTAGGAGCTATTTCTATTTTTTTTATTCCAAAACGCGTAGGAATAACTCAAAATATAATTTTCTTTGAAATTATAATAAAGAAAAATCGATTAATCTACAATGAAATGGTTCTAAGGAACTAAGAAATTGTAATTTAATCATTTTCAGAACCTTCATTAAGTGTTATAATTGATGAATTTATTATAGAAATGTAGGCAATGTTATTGTAAAATAGGACCTTTCCGCCTTTAATAATAATGTCATCATCAACATTCATCGAAAAATTTTGTGCATTCTCACGCCATAATGCAAAATCAATCTGAAAATAAAAATGTTTTTAAATTTATTTAAAATAAAATTATGCAAACAAATTATATTTAAATTACATATACTGAATTCAATCTTACTTTTTCGTTTAACTCGTCGACTATTGTTACAGATCTTTTTACGAATTTTGTTCCAGTTTTAAGAACAATTTCTTCAATTTCATTTATGTGAAAGATTTTCGCTTTTAGATCTGCAAATTTAATTGTTATTAATTGTTATTACTTTTATTTATTACATATATATTTTATTTTGTATGTTTTATTCCATTATGTACTTCTTACCTGTAAATGTTCCTGTTTCCATTAATTTAATTTCCTCGATGGTTTTAAAAGTATACATGTTGTCAGGAAGGAAAATATCATTTTCATCATTTTCTTTGATCGACGAATCAGTTTTCATTTGGATTTCAATTCTATTATTGAATACATTAAATTTTGGATGAGGTGTTGATACATAGAATTTTGACAAAATGTACTGCTTACCGATCTATTATTAAAAAAAGAAGTTTATTTTAACAAAAAAAAAATTTAATATCATAATATTTTGAGTTCATAATATTAAAAAACAACCAAATTACCTGCACAATTTCAAAAAATTTATCAACCGCATCGTCAAAGAAAGTACATCGAAATTGACTTGAAGAATCTATTAAATCGATAGAAAATAATTTTCCACTTTTATACGACTTAATGTTTGATTTATTCACAATTTTGCAACGAATAACCCATCTATAAACCAAAAAAATGTTTTAAAACAAAAAAATTAAATAATAATAAAAATTATAGTGCATTATATTAATTATGCATTAAGTAATGTATTATTTAATTAAATATATTTAAAAACCGAAAAAATTTGAAAAACACCAATCTTCTATGTTTCTAATGATTAAAGATAATGATTTATTACTTTTTAAATTAATTTTTGGAAGTTAATATTATTTTTGTAAGTTAATATTATTTTTGTTTAATAACAATTTTTGAAAGTAACAAAATAATTCTATTATGCAAATAAAAATTAGGCAACTTAGTTTATTGCTGATTAAACAGTAAGGGTATTTAAACCATTATCATGTAACAAAATTAGATAATATACTTTGCACAAATCTTACATTTTCTAATATTTTAAAAATTAAAAAAATAATAAATTTTTATTTAAAAAGCTATAATTTATTAAAAACATATTAATAATAATTGAAGGGTGCACTAAAACAATGAATTATCCGCCAATTTTTCGTAGATTATATTTGCACCAAATTTAAAGTCAGAAGTCTTTTTTTGTAAAATAAATGGTTAAATATGTAAGAAATTCTTATTTAGTTAAAGTTTGTGATCATTATAAAAAATTTTTTGTGATTAATAAACTGATTTTAATTATAAATTATTAATATTTAGCTCTAAAAGTTGAAGTGTCGTGTTGGAGGATACAGCTTTGTTTTAGTGCACCCTTCAATTCATTTTTTAAACTTTTGTATTAATAAAAATAAATTATGTAGCTTTATAAAGTTTCTACATGATTTAAAAAAAATATAAGCAAACACGTTTCTGTCATTTTGTTTTGTACAAAGGCAACATTTTGTATTATTTCCATATATAATTAAATAAAATAATTAGCATTATAATATATAGAAAATAAACTTTTAAAATTTGTTGTTAATATGTTGTATAATTATGTCGAAATTAATAAAAAAAAAAATTATAAAATTATAATTTAAAAATTATAGAACTTACTCTGATATTGTATTTTGTATATCCATGAAACTATCAATTTTTATTTTTTTTTCTTTATTTAAATTATGAGAGAAACCATGGTCATCAGATTCTAAATTTCGTTTATTGTGTTTCATGATGCGTGTTTACTGTTTCAATTTCAAATCGATACTAATGTTTATACTTTATTCAAAATATTCTTATTTCTTTGTTATTATAGAAATGAATTAGGGGAATTCTTGTATAATAGAATTATCAATATAATTTGTAACTGTTTAAACTTGATTGAGATATACTGCTTACAAAAATGTAAATCTATCATTTAGAGTTTAAAAGTTAAATATAATTTTGTGTAAAAAAAATTGAATTCTACAGAACGTGAAACTGTTTTATTATTATTATTCCAAGTAAGATATTTTAATCATATATAATAAATAATTTTTATAAATGTATTATTGATTTATGTTTGTAAATATTTTATTTTGTATTATAATATTAAATAGTAATATAATTATATTAATTTTAATTATTTAAAATTTTATTTAATTTATTACAGAATAAATAAATACAATTACATATTGTAAGTCATTAATAATTATGATTTTTTATTTCTTTTAATTAATATTTTCATTTTCAAAAGATTATTAATTGCTTTTTGTTTTTTATATTTAATTTTAATGGGTTAATGTAGTTTACATATATGAAATAAATAAAAAAATTAATAAAAATGTTAAAGAAACAACATAATATTTTAATTTCTGAAAGTAAATGACATATTTAGTAATAATTTAATTAAAAAAATAATCGTCCTACTATATATTTCTTTTTTCTAAAAAAAAGTTTTAAAAAATAAATTTTAATGTGATATGTTAATAAATATTTGAATAGTGACATCTATTAGATGTCAATTGAAGTCTTTGATTCACTATTTGCTGATATGGTCGAAATGTTCTTTCGTAATTATAATTCTTAATCAGCGAAAAATTCAAATATTTAAATGTACAGCTCTTGACTAATAATGGGTTTGCTCTGAGAATATAAGAAGCTTGATTGATAATATAAATAAATTATAGTTAAACTGTATTAATCTATCACAAATTACTCTCATTTTATGTCCACACGTGAGACCATAAAGTTTTAAAAAAAATTCATCTCTAAAGCTCTTCATTATTTCGAGATATTTACATACGGACACACACATACGGATGTCATTTTTTAAACTCATGAGATCAAATAATCAATAATATCAATAATATTAAGTAATCGATAACTAAAAATTTTAGTACTTTTAAAGAAACAAAAGTCAGTCTATCAATTTTTACATAATCGCATCCCAATATTTTCCAAAAATATGTTTATAGAAATTAAATTAATAATTTATTAAAATTTTCTTTTTATAATTTATTTAAAAAATTTTTTTTTAAGATTAGTTTAATAAGAAATTCTGAGTAAATCCAATAAATTTTTCAAACTTTTACCTCCACATTAGTTCTGCTATTTTGAATTTTAAAAAACGCGAGTCTTTGCAATTAATAAAAAAATATAAAAAATTGTTATTAAAAAAATGTTTTGTTTTATTTAATTTTGAATTTCTTTAATTACATATTTCAAAAAATAATTAATAATAATAATTAACAATAATTAATAATTCTAAAAAATAAAATTTTAAACATAATTTAAACCAACAATAATCATTATCGTAATACGGATCGTTTTGACTTATGTAACGTCTTAAAAAGAAATTCTTGTATGAAAATGATAAATCCATATACAAGAAGAATATATGCATTCAAATAAGAGAAATGCTCTTAAAACAAAAATATTTTATTTTCAGTGTAGGCTCTACGTTTGTCTAAATTTAAAAAATTTAATTGTTTTCGGAAAAATCTAAATATTTCAAAAAATATGAAATGTTTTGAAATTTCTTGAAATATAGATATCAAGATTTTAAACCAATTAATAAATAATATTCCAAAATATTTACAAATACGTTTAGAAGTTTAGTTTTCTTTGCTTCAATTATATAAAAGTATCCAAAAAATTGAATAACCTTATTATAATTATTTCTTTTATTATTTTATTTTTCTTTCTATAAAAGTAACCAAAAAATTGAATAACCTTATTATAATTCTTCCTTTTATTTTATTTATTTTTTCTTTATCTTACGATCACACAAAACTATTAAAACTATGTTTATAAAAATAAGTTTTTATTCGTTAAAAAAATTAGTAAATAAATAAGTAAGAATCCGACAGTAATCGGCCACTTAAAAAAGCTTTCAAAAACTGTAAAAAAAGATTTTTTTCAATTACAAAAGCTTAGATTTGTTTATGATCAACTTAGAAATGATTAGCAACAAACAAAATATTTTTATCTCATACGGTTTTATAGCTATTCAAAATTGAAAAAGTGTCTGACTACTGTTTGGTTTACCCTATTCACGGTTTAAATTTTTTACTTAGCAACAATTCTCTACCACGAATCTTGATATAATTTTCCAAATTGCTTTTTATTATTTTTATATTTCTTTTACGTTTGGAAATGGAAAAAGATTCATTTCTTTAATACAAATTGAGATTTATTTGAATCCAAAACTGCTTTGTTTTGATGCAAATAATTTTGGTATTTGGCTATATAATTAATTATTTGACGCAATTAAAGTATTAGTCTCAATTAAAATAATTAATTATAAAGAATAATTGCATATTTGATACAAATAAATGTTTAGTTCTTTAAAAAAAATTATTTTATTGATGCAAATAAATATTTAATTGAATTAAAAACCATGCATTATTGAATCAAGTAATTTTCCTAATTGATTTAAAGTAATATTTATTAGATCCAATTATTCATTGAAATTTTCACTCATTCAGATTTAGATGGTATTATTTTCTACCGGCACAGAAATTCTGACAGCAAAAATGTTAATAATGGCCCTGTGCCGGTCCGGTACCAAAATTTAATTAAGATTTTTCACCGGCAACACGACGTGCTTTAAAATTTTTACGTTGCATCTAATTTTAATTTTTTTCGTTTAAAATCGAAAAAACAAACTAATTTTTATTAAACATTAATTTTGTTAAACACTGAGTTCTTTTTGTTCCTTTCCCTTGACTGCATAATATTCCATTTTGATTATATTCTTAATTTTTTTGTTTCAATTTGAAAAAGCAAACTATTTTTTGTTACATACAAATACCGTTTTTTTGGTCTTAAAACTTTTTTGAAAATGATGAAAAATGTAGAAGTAACTTTAAAATTATCGTTACCAACTTGTAGAGCATTAAAAAACGCTTCGATTGACCTATTTTTGTAAAAAAAAAGCGTCTTGGTTTAAGACGTTTACGTGGTCACATTTTAGACGTTTATAAGCGTCTTATTTGCCTTTTAAAATGCATGTATTTGGCGGTTATGTTTTTCATTTAAGACGCTCAAATAAGACGCTTATCTACATAAGACGATTATAAACGTCTAAACGTCTTATTTTTAGACGCCATTTTTTGCAGTATTTTAAAAACCAAAAATTGTGGGAAATGACATTTTCTCAACTTTTTTGTTTAACTATTAAACTGTTATAACATATCTTGTAGGGTATTTAAAAAGACATTTATTGACCCAAAATTAAATCACTTTTACTATATTTATAAAAAGTTATTCATATATTTCTATTATTATTATCTCTATGAGAAAGCAAAGTGTTCATGAAATGAGCACCAAAATTTTGAAAAAAATATACAACTTGACAGCGGTTTTTTAAATTACTGTACGATGTTTTTTAAAAAAGTTATCGTTATATGTAGAATTAGAAAAAAATATTAAAAATGTTTTTTAAACAATTTTCATTGAATATTTTGGATATAATGAAGATTTGAAAATCCATAATTTTTAATTAGGGTAATGTCACCGCCTAAGCTTTTTTCTTAAAAATTCTTTATGAAAGCAAATTAATAGGAGGTTTCTATTCCAAGATTTAGTTTAGATCCCTAGATAAGTGTTTATACCATAATAGCTTTGATTTTTTTTATTTGGAAAAAACAATTTACTTTTCAAAAAAGCTAATTTTTCGTCAATTTATATTCATAAAAAGAGTAAACTGTCATTAAAAATATAAAAAACAGGCAGTCCACTCATGGTTATAAACAGTGGTTCACTCATGATGACATGCAACTTTTTATGGCAGCCACCCCAATTTTTTTTTAGTCAAAATTATCACTTAACTAAACTAATATAATCAATTTCAATGTTCAAAGTAGTAGGAAAAAAATAAATTACCTTTAAAATTTAAATTTTACACTACTTTTACACTTCCGAATCACTTTACTCATTGTAAGAGCGACTTCTTTTTTGGTCGAGATTTTAACTCAATTAATAGTATTCTAGAGTATTTTACATATCCATTTAGAAGTTTAGTCTCTACGTTGGTTTAAATTTCAAAAAATCCAATTTTTAAGAAAAATTCAAATATTTCAAAGAGTACGAAATTAATTAATTCCTTTACGTCTGTAAATGGAAAAATGGTTCATATAACATAATTAATAATATATGCCCTGAAACTGTATCTCCTTTGCTAACTTTCTAGCAAAATTTTTTTTTTAATTTGCTAAAGAAAGTAAACTTACCTCAAATTAATTTTTACAACTATTTTATTAATAATGAATATTTTATTTACAGATTATTTTTCGAGTTTTAAAAAAACTAAAATTATTAGAAACATTTAATTGCTCATTTTGTCTATAGATTAATAATTATGGGTTTAACATTTGAAGACAAATTAATTGTCCAAGGGACAGGTGATTTTTCTTTAGAAAAAAGCATGCTGCATGATATTCACATACATGAATTTAATAACATTGTAATGTTAAACTCAAATTATTCAATGCAATCACCACTATTATTACAAATACCATCAAATATTAGGAAGATACCACTGGGTACTAATTATGTTCAAATTCTATTTTCATGTGAAAAAAATAAAAAAGACAAAGGCCATTGGATATGTATATATTATAATTCAAATGTTGTTCATGTTTATAATAGTGCAAATAGTGGCGAATTACATCCTGATCATCAAATATACCTTCAAAATTTATTTTCAGACCATACTAATTTAAAAATTGTATTTGAAAAAGTTCAATATCAAACGAACAATTTCGATTGTGGAGTATTTGCTATTGCTTTTGT